CTACCACAGAATTTTAAAACACTGACTTTAAATGAGTCAATTATTAAATATTTTAAATTGTAGATATTTTCATTAAGAAAACATTATAGTTGTCTAACTCTTACTTTTTTTCATTTATTTGGAGTTTCACTCTATGTTGAGGTGAATTGTTCTCTAAATACTATTCTTTCCAATTTGAAAAATAGTACTTCGTCCTCTAGATCCATACATTAACGATTTAATCCTTTTTTACTTACATTATTTTCAAGAAAATATTTATTCATTACATAACAAAGACGAAGGAGACATTTATGAAGGAAACATTCATGTTAAGTAGAAAAACATAATCCTAAATATCTAATTATCTTTATGAAAAAAATATACATGACTGTGCTTAAATTGTATATTATAAAAAAAAGCATCGATTCTAAAAAGTCAATCATCAAAGACATACGCAGCTAGGATAAAGCTCCAGTAAAATATCAAACCGTTCAAACTGTAGTTACTTCTCTGAACAAACTAGATATGACGTCATAATAGAATATGAAGTCAGGTAACTGTATACTTAAGCTGACTCAAGAAATGGAATTTATAAAAAAAAATTTCCCTTTGATCGATGTATCAAAGGAAAATTAACGCGTACGAGGTTGTCCTCTTTTTGGTAGCATAAAAAAAAAACGTTTCTTCGGAATTCTATTGTCCATACCAGATATCTCAAAGCCAAACACTTAACAAAAGTATGTCGATTTTTTTCCTTCGCAGGGGTAATAAGGAAGTATATAGAATATACTACCTTGACTAAGTCAGTGATACATTATTACGCCTTAGTAGGCGAGATTACGTCAATTTTACAGCACAAGTTTTCCTAATATTGGTATTTAGAAAATGAATAGAAATGTCTAAACATTTACAAAAATAAAATGTTTTTATTTTGTTATGCTGTATATGTCATTTTGATTAAAGTCTACCACTGATGACGCCATATGTGTACATCAAGTAACTTGGGAATTGATCATGTCGTGTAAAGAAAATTTTGCTAAGTACGGCATTTACAAAGATAAGTAAAATGGAGTTTAAAAGCAAATACCGTGAATATTAAGAGAAATTCATATGGTGTTCATTTAATAAATAAGTATGTTTATTTATTTTCATCGATTATATTCTCTTTTGAAGACAATCAGCTAGACAGTCAACAGTCAACAATCAATTAACAGACAGGCCCGGTCGGCCTTTCCTGTGTTATTCCTGACAAAATGAATGCTACAGAACAACAATAAGCTGGATATTTCAAAACATAAGATTTGTACTGTTTCGACTTTTAAATTCTTATTTAAAAATTTTGCTTGCGTTGACTAGTAACGAGAAAAACCAGAGATCCATCGGAGGTCTGTACATTAATAACATCATATGGAACACTCACTTTACACACACTGTAAAGATTCATTCCAGCTGAAACAGAGGAGTTAAAAAGACAGTTTTCTAGCTACGTTGATATTTGTTCTCTTGATTTGAAAATTTCTGAGAGAATAAGTTTTTATCATAAAAGTAGCGAAACTAAAATTATATCCTTCAGGAACGAAATTGGTGTATGAACTGAGATACTGATTAAATACTGGAATTGTGACCTTGTAAGTATCGCCATATATTTTAGCCTCGGTAGAAGACACTGCAATGCTGTTCACTGATACAGGTTTTGTAGGAAATATAACACCTATTTCGTGTTCGCGAACAAGGAATTCAGCAAACCGAATTTTCAAAAGAAAAGTCTCCGTAGAGGTTTCCATGGAATTATATTTAATATCAGTTTTCAATACAGAAGCAATGCGTACATTTGACTGGAATCTATGAATGTTATTGTTAATAACTTTGACTCTCTAGTAGTGAAATTGTTACATTGAAATCAGTTTTTGATGGCACAATAAGTGTTCGGTTTGTTGTATTTTCATTGTTGTGATTTTAGATATAGCTGACCAGAAAACTTCGCCTTCTACTCCCTGCAAGAAATTTTAGTTTTTGGTTTTATTAGCAAAAGGAATACATATTTTTTGAAAATTAAAATTCAATACTTAATTGCGTCTTTATTATCTAAATCATCTGCTTTTCCTTGATTGTTACTGTTATTTTCTCACCTATATTTAGAAATGTCCGATTAAATTGCGCTATCTACAATTACTGGATATAGTATTTCAGCTAGTGCAGCACTAAGGACCACTCAGACGTGAAATCATTACAGTTGATAAAATAAATCAAATGGAAATGAATTATCCTTTTTTTTTAAATATGATATTGTTCTTGAATTCAAATTCAAGAATTAATGTAAAAATTCGAATTTATGCTTTTTCAAACACAAAATTAATGATTACCGTTGGTAAAATTTTGTAAACAAGCAGACTAAATAAAAATTGTAACTTGGACGGGATACGACTTTCTAAAAAAATTATTCATAGTGGAGCCATAAAATTTTGTAGGGGTCTCCTATTTCCTTCCAAATACTTCTATATTAATATCTGGAAAATTGGTTTTCATGATAACATCTCTATAGCTGAAGCACTTCCACCTGTAATTCCATGGTTATTAAATTTAAAAAAAAAATTACAGTTAAAATCAGATTATTTTTCTTGTTTATTTAATGCAAGCTGACACACACACTTACTTGTATAAAGTAGCATACTAACGACAGTTTATTAAACTTATATAACTTACGAACAAGTAGAAAAGTATTAGCAATAGGAAATGAAGATGAAAGTGATGATGAGAGAGAAAGGTATTATAATCTTAAAACATCGTATTAAAATGTTCACTCAAATTTCGTTTTTCATAATGTTGAAACAGTGTACAGAAATAATTACTTTTAAAGTGTTCAAATTTGACCTAGGGAGAAACAAATTTGCCAACAATGACCCATCTAATATTTCAAAGAACAAATATACACTACATATTCATTTGTGTCAATATTTATGCCGTTGTATCCTATTCGAATATACTTATCCAGTGCTATCACACTAAGTATGCTATCAAAGTAAATACATAAATAGTGAAAATTCAATTTGTAAGATTCGTAAAAAGTCTTTGAAATATATGCATGCACATGAATATAAATTGTAACATGTTTGAAACATATATTTATCTTTGATATCAAGTTAAGCTATTTCGTTTACAGTTTTCTATACATTAGCTGTTTGATAACGGTCACGAGCTGTTTGCATACTGACCCAGAGATATCGAACTTATTCTTCCAAGTGTTGTTTCTTCATCCTGTGAATTGCAATTGCAACTAAAAGACATGAAAGATTCTGACGACACACTCTTCAAATATATGTTTTATATCTCTTTATAATATATCAAAAATAATTTATCATCGTCTTTCTCTTGTGTTTTCGTTAATGCTTTCACAATGTATTAAATAATGTATAAAATAATAAGTACAACAACAATTATACTGTTGGAGATTGAAAAGATTACCAAAAGGATTATATAAGAAGCACAGTCCTCTGGGATCTTGCACGAATACCTGGTAGAGTACCTCGATTCTTATTAAAGTAGCAATACTTCAAATTCTTGGGGAAATTATTTACTATTGAGGAATGTATAGTCTAACTTTAGGTGCCAACAGTGTACAGAAATGATAGGAAACATGTTATACAAATATTACGAACAGATTTGACAAAACATAATGCTTTCTTCTGTAGGTTCTATGTAGTATACAGGGTGTCCCAAAACATATGTTACACTTTTAAACCCTTACAAATTTTTTATGCCTAAAGTTACAGTAATGAAAATTAAAATACATAATGAAATCGTTATTATTTTTTTGTAGAGCATACATTTGTCACATTTTCTTTATCAATCATCTACCTTTTTTCTTTAGAATAACATATGTCATTTTACAACATGTTCCAAATGACGTCCCTTTAAATCAACATTGTTTGAACACGATTTCTTAATTTTTTATTTATCAAGCTTTAAATGTAACATTCTAACAGTTCAGAAGCTTTTCTTCATTGAAATTGGGTTTCACCAAACAATAGAATTTATGCTTCTCTTTACCAACATTGATAAAATGGAAGGGGCCTTAAAATAAAAGAACAACTAGCAATCATATGGCTACTTGAAAGTTCGTAAAACATCTATTTGTCTTTGTACCTTCACGTGTGAAGTCCAGCTGGGGTGTAAATGATAAAAATTGATTATGCAAGGCGACTGTTTACCGTATTGTAAACGTTATGATGAATAGAAATGAGGCACATATCTTAAAAGTCATAAATGGTACCAACATGCTTCACATTAGTTGTTGTTAACTACAAGTACATGTACCCCGCTAGGAACATTTCTTCGGGAGACTAGTACCAGTGTTTATTAATGCTTTCATATATGACCTCCAAATTGTAACATGCATATATATGATATATTGAATTTTGGAATAGAATACAATTGAAATTGAAATTAAAACTTTGAACGTCCATCTGTGTTCCAAAATCTGATTGCCGTCACAAAAGGCAAGTAATCCACAGACATAGCTTCAGAATAACCCATAGACCAGTGGTGTAGCACTGACATCAAGATTGAAGTATTAAATTAGAGAGCCATAATAGCGTTGCTTTAGGTGTTTTAGTTCTCACAATTACACCCTTGCTAGACTGCACCATTGTTCGTAGGTATATGTATACGTAATTGATTTTTGTATAATTTTGAGGTTTTATATAAATGTCTTTTTAATTAAAAAAATTAAAATTATTTTTTTTCCAAAATTTATTATTTTTTATTCATTTCTTTATCTGTATTTAGATCCTTGCCAGACTGCACCATTGACCTTAGGTATATGTATACGTAATTGATTTGTGTGTGTGTGTGTGTGTAATTTTGAGAGTTTATATATAAATATCTTTCTAAGTAAAAAAAAATCTAAATAATTTTTCTGTCAAAGTTTATTATTTTTATTCATTTTTAAGGTACATGTCTTGTAGACTTTTGACTTCTTGCTGAAATAATTTGATCATTTGATTTTAGGAGGGAATTAATAAAGAACACGCAAAAACCATGTTAGGAAAAATTCATCGTCATCAAGCTTTGTGTTGTTTACAGTTATCTCTGTTTTACTGTGCCTTACATAAAGTTATGACAGATGATCCTGCTATTCGAAATAAAGAAATGGCTGAAGCATTTTCCAGAGCTAACAAGGGGTTCATGTTGAGTCTTTTAAAGAAGTTTCCATCGGAATCCAACATTTTTTACTCGCCCTTCAGTATTTCAACTGCCCTCGCAATGATTCATTTAGGCTCAGGATCACAAACTTTAACAGAGATGAAGAAAGCTCTTCATTTCAACGAAATGGATAAAGATGTTTACGCTGCATTCAATATGTATTTAGAGTTTCTGTCGAAGGATATTGAAAACAACACACTGAAAACATCAAATAGAATTTTTCTAAGTATGACATCTTCAGCAGAAGAATCCTTCCTACAAAACTGTATCAAACATTTCAATGCAACTCTAGAATCAATGGATTTCTCTAAGCCTGAAACATCAACCAAAAGTATCGATTCCTGGGTCAGTCAGCAAACTGAAGACAATCTTCATTTACATCCAATAAATGACAGGACACTGGTTCTAATTAATGCAATCTACTTTAAAGGAAACTGGAACAAAAAATTTAAAACTAGACAAACAAGAAAAATGAATTTCTGGAATGGCACAGCAAATTTCATGACAGAAATAATGTACCAGAAGGATTATTTCAAATTTTGTCATGTTTCAAACTTGAATTTTGATCTTCTTGAACTTCCCTTTGAGGGCGAATTCTTTAGCATGTTAATTCTTCTACCCACAGCTAAGCATAATTTAGAGGCAGTGGAAAAGGAATTAACAGAAAATATTCTTAAAAACGCGATTTACAACCTACGTAAACAAAAAGTTGAAGTATACCTTCCAAAATTTAGAATTGAGTCTGCCTTTTGGTTGAAATCTATTTTATCGTCATTGGGTATGGTATCAGCATTCCAAAACAAAGCTGATTTTTCAAACATGTTCAAAAATACAAATGTAAAAATGGGTGTTAGTTTGCATAGAGCCTTTGTCAATGTGGATGAGGAAGGCACTGAAGCTGCATCAATCACAGGAGTAGTCGCTACTTTGATATCCGTCCAAAACACTCCAAAGTTTCAAGCAGACCGCCCGTTTCTCTTTTTCATTTGTGATACTGTGAATGACGTCATACTATTTACAGGAAGATTTTACTGTCCAGTCAGAGTTAAAGGTAACTCCAATTAATATGGTTTCTGTTATTAAGTTAATTTATTTAGTAATTATTTAATCCTTTATTGCATTAATTTTTCCTGATAAAGTGTATGAAACCATTGGATCCAGATGGTATTCTATTTTTCCCACGATTTCTAAGAAATACATCATGCAAGAAAGTTATGATTTGTTTCCTATAAAACCTGCAGATCTTCCTAATTGTTTCACAGAAGACTGCATTCATAAGACTGTAAAAATAATGACCGTCAATCGACCCCCCCCCATATATTGATATGACCTTATCGAGAAAACGAGCGCTTAATTAGTTGACGTCATGAATGTTTGCCACATTTTGCAAATACATTCACTGTTAGGACGCATCATTAATTATAATATTTCTCCATATAGTAAATGCCTAAACTAAATAATATTATGAGTAGTTTACGACGTAAGTATTAAAGCCCACTGTTTAGAAGGAACAAAAAAATTAATGATTTGCAGCAAACTGCAGGTGAAAATCCTTTGAAGAAGTGAATGCCACAATCTTCGCCTTTACATTTTACACAAATATGGGGGAGAAATCGCATATTTTCTTGAGAACAGGGCAGCAACAAAAAACATATATCTACTCTTAATCAAGATAATTTTTTGTCACGTTTTATTGATATTTCTATATTTATGATAAAAAGCATAGAAAATCTTAGCAAAGTGTAAAGCCAAGGCGTTGGATATCATAGAAAGATGTGTAAGTTTATTGCAAACTAAACAACATAATGTACCAAAAATCAAAAACAAGCTTGAAGGAACGGGGAGGCGGGTACAGAAATAAAATTAATCAGTATATAATTGAATCTGGAAAACGAGGTCCTCGGTACAATTTGGCCGGTTTATACTATAACCAATGAAAACAAATCGTTTTGTTTTGCTTTCTTATTAACCCCCCCCCCCCGAAAAAAAGAAGAGAAATAAAAAATCAATCGCTTCCTACGTGCCTGAAATAATCTACATGTATGTTAACATGCAACATGTACAAATGCCGGTAATGAAGGGGAGTAACCTGCTTTATTATTTATTGTTACCTGCATGGCAACAGGAAGCGTTAAGAATTAGCCACTTCCTTCAAAGATTTTTCAGTATCTGTGTATATCTTTCTTTAAGGTACGGAACCAATTATTTTCAATACTTATTATCTCTGTATCTGACCCATCATGGTGATACATGTAAATACTAAATTGTCAATAATATTAAAAAAATAAAACAAAATTTTACCATCTCATAACTGTAAAAAAGCGAGTTACGATCACTATTTTGGACCTCGTCAGTGCTCAGAGATTTTATATTTTCGCAGACAATTTATTTACATTAATTTTGAGAAGAGCAAACTGGAGCGATAGTCAATTAGAAATGCTAGTTGACTTAATTCAAACCAAGAGCGATGATCAGTGGTAAGAGGGTGTTCGGTATCTTTCTCAGTATCCAAATTATGCACAATGTCTAAAGTGGTGTCATAGAGAGGTATTTTCTAATACGTCTGCACTATTCAGGTGAACAGATAAAGACATGACTGAATGATTCTTTGTTATATTGACTTTTAGAAAATCAAAACAAAACAAACATTAAAAAGTTTGGGAGTACATATCGAAAACTGAAACGTTTCTACACCATTTGAACTAATGTGCAATATAGGTATTCAAGACTGAAGATTTGATAATGAAGGATTTATATATATATATATTTGCTATTTATAACATATAGAAACATTCACACCAATCATTTTAAAATTATTTTAACTCATATCTCATTTGCTATTTCTTCAGAATATCAACTTATACGCACATAGCTTCAATTTCATGCTGACGTGAAAAAGAATATGCCACAATGGTAAGCAATATAAATGGCAGACTATTTCTTTGTCTTTTGCAGAAAAAAAATCCGAGATGAATGGAACGGAAATAAATAATGTGCACAATGATTCAAAGATAATCAAAAAGAATACAGGTAACTCTCAAAACTTCATAGTCCGCGGAATCCAGGCAGACAACATTTTTTAAAAGCTCTGTATTTAACGGATTTGTTTTAAAATTAGTTTTACTGTATGTAATCATTTTCAATTTTATTTTCATGAACTGCAAACCTCTTAAATGTGATTTTTTTAACTGTGAAATTTTTTTCAGTAAAATGTCCTGTTTACGATATAGAAAATGAATTATCATAACGGCGTAAAATATTTGTTTACGCATTTAATTTTTTTTTAATACTCAAAGGAGTGCAGTCTCAGCTTTTTTCTGTAGTGAAACTCTGCACGAGTTGTCCTTTGTGCACAGGAATAGTATCTTTTAAGTAAAACGGCTAGGTTACTGTCAACTAAATATTGTCTGCGTTGCAGACCTCCATATGAACAACTTTATTAGCGAATCCCCATTGCGATAAAAAAGAATTTTCTGACATCGAGTACCGTATACTCAATGTAAATATTTTCATTATAAAAAAAATAAAAAAAATCAATCACTTCCTACGTGCCTGAAATAATCCACATATATGTTAACATGTCAACATGTACAAATGCCGGTAATAAAGGGGAGTAACCTGCTTTATTATTTATTGTTACCTGCATGGCAACAGGAAGCGTTAAGTATTTGCCACTTCCTTCAAAGATTTTACGGTATCTGTGTAAATCTTTCTTTAAGGTACAGAACCAATTATTTTCAATACATATTAACTCTGTAAGAGACCCATCATGGTGATACATGTAAATACTACATTGTCCCAAATATAAAAAAAAAATAAAACAAAATTTTACCATCTCGTAACTGTGAGAAAGCGAATTACGATCAAGGTTTTTGACCTCTTCAGTGCACTAAATGTTGATCGTTTCAAAGACAATTTATTTCCATTAATTTTGAGAAGAGAAAGTCAATTAGAAATGCTCGTTGACCCAATTCAAACCAAGAGCGATGATCAGTGATAAGAAGTTGTTTGGTACCTTTCTCAGTATCCAAACTATGCACTGTGTCTGAAGTGGTGTCATAGAGAGGTATTTTCTAATACGTCTGCACTACTCAAGTGAACAGATAAAGACATGACTGACTGATTCTTTTATTATGTTGACTTTTAGGAAATCAAAAAAAAAAATACATTAAACAATTTGGGACTACATATTCTAATACTCAAATGTTTCTTCAGCATTTAAACTAATGTGCAATATAGGGCTTTAAGACTGAAGGATTTATAATGAAGGATTTATATTTTGCTGTTTATTATGTATAGAAACAATCACCCCCATCACTTAAAAAGTATTTTAACTCATATCTCAATTGCTATGTCTTCGGAATGTCAACGTATGCACACAAAGCTTTACTTTCATGCTGACGTGAAAAAGAAGATGCCATAATGGTAGGCAATATAACTGTCAAATGATATCTTTGTCTTTTGCAGAAAAAAAGTCCGAGATGAATGGAACTGAAAAAACTATTGTGCACATTGGTTCAAAGATAATGAAAAAGAATACAGGTAACTCTCAAAACCTCGTAGTCCGCGGAATGTAGGCAAACAACTTTTTCAAAAGCTCCGAATTTTACGGATTTGTATTAAAATGAGTCTTACCGGATGTATATTTTTTTTTTTGTGCAGTGCAAACCTTTAACTTGTGTTTTTAACTGTGATATTTTTTCAGTAAAATGTCTTGATTACGATATAGAAAACGATAGATCTTTACAGCATAAAATTTTTTTGACGCATTTGAAAATTTTCTACAATACTCGAAAGAATGTAGTCTCACCTTTTCTCATAGTGAAATTCTGCACGAGATGTACATTGTGCACAGGAATAGTAATCTTCAGGTAAAACAACTAGAGTTACTGTCAATTTAATATTGTTTAAATCAATAAATTGTGATGCAAAAACTTACAAAACTTACCCACATTGCAGACAGCGACAGTAACAACTTAATTAGCAAATCCTCAGCGCGATAAAAAAGAATTTTCTGACATCGAGTACCGTATACTCAATGTACATATTTTCATTATAACTGTATAATAAAACAATTGACGACCACTCGTGAGTTCAACATGGTAAAATGAAGACCCTCGACCTGGCCCACAAAGGAGATCAGGGGGGTTTTTTTTGTTCTCCTGGTCATCGTTCTCATGCACATTATTCATTTTTCATACAGTAAATGCCTATACTAAATAACATAATGAGTAGTTTACGACGTTAGTATTAAAGCCCACTGTTTAGAATGAAAAAAAAAATGATTTACAGCAAACTGAAGTTGAAAATCCTATAAAGAATTCAATGCCATGACCGTCGCCTTTATTTTTTAACACAAATATGGGGGAGAAATCTCATATTATGTTTATACCAGGGCAGCAATAAAAAACATACATCTACTCTTTATCAACGTGATATTTGTCACTATTTACTTTAAATTTTCTATATTAATGATAAAAAGCATAAAAAAAATCTGATCAAAGTATAAAACCAAGGCGTTGGATATCATAGAAAGGTGTGTTAGTTTATTGCAAACTAAACAACATAATGTACCAAAATCAAAAACAAGCTTGAAGGAACGGGGAGGCGGGTCACGGAAATGAAATAATCAATATATAATTGAATCTGGAAAACAAAATCCCCGGGACAATTTGGCCTGTTTATACTATAACAACAAATGAAAAAGTTCTTTTGTTTAACTTTCTTATTATCCCCTCCCCCACTCGAAGAAAAGAGAACTAATACGTCTGCACTATTCAGGTGAACAGATAAAGACATGACTGACTGATTCTTTGTTATGTTGACTTTCACCCCCATCATTTAAAAAGTATTTTAACTCATATCTCAATTGCTATGTCTTCAGAATGTCAACATATGCACATATAGCTTTACTTTCATCCTAACGTGAAAAAGAATATGTCCTAATGGTAAGCAATATAACTGTCAAATGATATCTTAATCTTTTGCAGAAAAAAAGTCCGAGATGAATGGAACTGAAAAAACTATTGAGCACATTGGTTCAAAGATAAGGAAAAAGAATACAG